CCCCCCCCCCCCCCCGGGTGCTAGACCGACGCTAAGACCACGCGACCATGCTGCTTCAACAGATAAATAACCAACATCATTGAAAAAGTGTAATAAAATGCACCCTAAAGAGGTAAYTGTAATATAAGGACTGACAAACATATGAAAGTGTGAAGTCAATGATGCCAAAATATGACACCGGGCCAAGGAATCGAACTCAGTTTACATTGTAACCCTCGTTCTTACCCTCCCGTATTGAGAGTCAGTATAAACAATATAATTAATATAATCAGTAGTAACGGTATAACCAATAAATTATAGCGTGCATTCTGACAGGATAATGTACTAGTAGCGGGTCTAATTTTTTTTACCATCATGGTAGAAAAAATATTCTCAGTGATTTCAGTTTGAAACAATAAACGGAAAATAACTGCACAACTAGTTTGTTTGTACTAAGGGTTAACTCTCGCTCTGTAATGAGCTTCCAACTTTTAAAACATACCCCTTGTCTGCATATCATGAGTTTCGCATATCTTTTATATCCTATAATGTTGCCATGGATACCAGTGTAATTTGCTCTTGAAGGAAATATACATACCTATGAAGTATGATAGTGCTGTATTGTTGTCAAGYATAACTTGAAGAGGTAGTATAGGTATTGGTTGGCTTGGCACAAGTAACTGCTCAGGTTCCTCTTGGCTCGTCTTAACATAGTAATTGAAATGAAAACACTTATTACCTTTAACAAAGTAAAACATACTATATCATTAGTAATTATTTTTAATCCTTAGGCATATTAGGATATGTTATACAGCACCAAACCTTTCTTACCATTAGCTAGTGATGACAAACTGTAGCTATGCACTACAATGTTTGAAAAGATGTTTTATATATACCCTGCACTTCCAGCCATATTAAACGCTTTTCATGCGATAGCTTAAACCTATTTTATCTATATCATCATTCTTAACATCTTTACCATTGGTACATCAGGTAATTCTCCTTCGCCACMTTCTATTGATTTTATTTTTGCATCACATAGTTTCTGAACAAACAAAAGGCTGCTAAGCTGCTGACGAACAGCTGCATCTGCAGCATCTGAAACAAATGAAACATAATAGCGCATGCATCACTATCAACATAAAATAGAAACTTATTTTATTTTATTTTATTTTTCCAATTAAGTATCCTAAGAATTGTGTATTCTAATTGGCTGATGAAGTGAGTGGTATTTTCTATCTCTGAACATGGTCCAGTATCCTGGGATAATAGATTGGACCCTATTGCTAATTATCATATGACCCGTACGGCCCTGCTCGCGCGCTCTAATAAAACCATTGGAAAAAGTCACGTGATGGGGGCCGGACGGGTTGACGTAAGCGGGCCGGAAAAACCCGTCTGGCCCTGCTCGAATCTGCACGCTTTCTTTTTTTTAATTATTTTTATTTTCGTGAGGGTCATATGATAAAATCTYGGTCATTTTCACGGACCTTGAGCCAAATATTTTCTTGTAYGGCCCTCCCACTCAGTCAATAAATACATATAAACTAAACATTGCAAAAGATGAAAAGTGAATAGGAAAAAACTGTGCCCTTGGCCTTGAAAATGAACCTTGGCCTAACAGCCTTGGTCCATATATTCAAGACCTTGAGCACAGTTTTTCCCTAATCAGATCTCTYGGCCAGTAAATTACTTCTATATCTACTATGGTTATAAATGAACACAGTCATGTACGAAAGCAAAACCACAAACCTGAAGTCTCAGAGTCATGTGCTCTAAGCTTGGCAATCTCTACATTCACTTTATCTTTGGTAGCTTGAACATCTTCAATGGTATACAAGCCTTCACTAAAAAATAATTATATAAAAATAAAGTACTTGAAAGGAAGTGAATGATGCAGCTGTAAGCAAACTATAAGAAATCAATAGAGAAAACAGTCACTGTGGAGAGGGAGGGGCTAAGGAGCTTCAGTCTCCCCATGTGTTGATATAATCCAACGAGCATGGAGGATTTACTTTTGTTGTTTTAGAGTGATACTAACAGAAAGATGTACAGAGGAAATGGACAAAAGAATATGTGCAAATAGTCCCTTTTACAGTTCCTTTGCATCCAGGCAAAACAAATGGTGAGCTTGCAATGTTAGAGACCTTTGGACCTTTGGACGCTTGGACAATTATTCACATGTCTTTATCATTGCAAGCTCACGGTTTGTCTAGCTGCGATGCAAAGGCATGGTTACCTTTCAAGATGGCACAAGGAACYCTGTGTCTGTGAGTTGCACACTGAAATTGGGTTTTTCGCTGCTGTCAATCAAACCTAATCAGTCGGTACCTTTCGTATTTTTGACTGACAGCAGCAAAAAAACAAATTTCAGCATGCAACTTGCACACACAGTTTGCATGTTTATGACAATTGCAGTAATAGACAGATGGAAAGATTAATAGGTGGAAGGATGGATGGGARGATGATTAGATGGATAGGCAGAAGGAAGGATGGATAGATGGGTAGGTGGTTTGTTAAGGTAGATTGATGGATGGATAGGAGGATAAAAGGATGGATGGATGGATAGGTGGATAAAAGGATGGATGGATGGATGGATAGATTACCTTATCACTGTCAAAAAAGCCTCTCTTGTAAATGCTGAGTCCTTGCACTATAAAGAAATACCAAATTAATAGATCTGTATTGAAATAACCAACATTTAAATTTATGTAGATAATTTTTTACTTATTTATATATTCATCCATTCATTCATTCATTCATTTATTCATTCATTGTTTTTCCATTTATTTATAAAGCACTCTTTTCCATATGGATACGTTCAAAGGTGCTTTACAATGAGTTGTGAATGAGAGGTGGTTAGTATATGAGGTGTAWGCACTGAGGGCGGTCACTGCCAGGTTTTCTTTACATCCTAATGCTCTGAATACTAATTATATGTAAACATACTATCAATAGTATTCACATCAATGATATCTCTAGAGACACATACAGTAATTACATTCTACACAGTCTAAACAAGTGTATACAAAGGATGCAGGATACATGATATTTAGCACATGTGCTGCCTTACCAGCCACACCAAGGTCTGATTAATATAATCAGGATCACATATTGTCTTCACAGATGGTAAGAGAACGTTTGTTGCTATTAGCTCCTGAAAAACATCAATATATTTACCAAATATAGATATACTGTATCTTTAATAGTCTATAAGTGATAGCTCTATTTATATAGGAGTTCAGTTTCCACCTAGGCTCGATTGTACAAAGGGTGGATAGCGCTATCTTATTCAGTGGATAAATTTATTGGATAACAGCATCAACTTATCCACTGAATAAGGATTTATACATTGGATAGTGCTATCCACCCTTTGGACAACCGGGCCCAGCTTTGTACATAGCTACAGCTAGTACTTTTATTTGTTGTTACATGTAGGAATTGTATGATTATTTTGGGGAAGTTATATTTCCCCTTACAAGTTTTAAATTCCTTACTGTAGCATATATTTGAATATTTCAATTGAAAATTGAATTGAAATATATATGATATAACATACAGTCAACTCTACTGAGTGTCAATGAAATGCCTGTGTTGGCTGGTCATGAAGTACATGATTAACCTGGCTGCCAAGTTGTAACTTTTGCTTCCCAATGAAAACAGTGATACCTATGTGCTTGTATAAAATAACAGGTTTGGCAGAAAAAGTGTATTTATTGAATCTTACCCTAAACAAATATCTAAATGGCTTGTTGTGAAAATCTTCGGGTGGCAGCAAGAGGTAAAGTAGCATTTCACTAATGTCACACAAATATTCTATAAAAATATTTAATATAAATTACTAATTATAAAAGAAATATATTCACAAAACTGTACACAGCACAATTGTGGTTGAAATATACCTTTTTCACTATTTCCAGATAAACAAATCTTTTTTCTGCAGATACCTCCCTCCATCTCTGATTCCACTTGAAAGAACAAGGTTTCAATGTTCTGCAATGTATCATCACCTGAGACAAAAACTTATCAGCTTTAATTTGATTAATTTTAATCCCTATTTGTCAATTAGATATCTTATGCCTTATATTATGTACAGTATTATAATAATATTTATAATAAATACAATATTAATGATAATTATAACAAGAACAACAACGACAATAATATAAAAATAATAATATGTTAATAATAACAATAATGATAATAATAATAATAGCAATAATAATAATAATGATAATAATAATAATAACAAGAATAAGAATAGAAGAAATATATTAAAAACTTTTAATTCATGATAAACTCATGGCCCTCAAATTCATTTTAAAAATAATATAATATATAATTAGATCAATAACCTTTATTTTATTATTATATATATAATTATATGGTTGTTATTGTGGAGTAAATACAGTATCATAAATAAATAAAAACCCTATCAAGTAGGTTAACGACTTGCAACAATATTGTTGTAATAATCCTTGATACTTAATTTGCAGGCTTCAATCAAAATAATGATGTACAATGGCACACATTTAAGTAATATATTTTAGAAAAGACAAGTTGTGCTTGTAATATTGACTGCCATAAGGTATCTGATTTAAACATTGTTGTACATCATATAACACAACAGCCAGCCAAAGTACATGTGTTAATGACCACACAGAACAAATCAGTTCATACCTTCTGTTTTTATAGCCTTATCCAGCCTTTCCTTTGCTAATCTGTAAATCTTTAAGTGATTGGTGATATCATCAACAAAACGGGTTGTCAAGAAATTAACCCACTCTACATCCTTTGACCTACAGTATAAGATGTATTCTCATATTAAAATCAAGTGAATATACAAAGATGTCAATCATTTGATAAAAGCCAGTGAAGGTATTGGCCCGGTGGGTGGGGTACTACCACCCCAACTTGGATAGGGGTGTGCTGCCAGGACCTCAAAACCCTGACCCTATCCCAGACCTACAATTTTGATTTTACATACCCTACCCCAGACTAAAACTAAGAGTTGAACACCCCTCCCAGACTAAACCCGGTTAGTCAATAGCTTGCAATCAATTTTCCCTAACATTTTTATTGTTTTTATGCCGTCAGAAAGCGTAACCTATTCGCCAGACAAAAACGACCAAATTGTTAACCCTWTCCCAGACTAAAACGACCAAATAGTAACCCTATCCCAGACAAAAATTATACCCTATCCCAGACAAAATGTCAAAAATGATACCCTACCCCAGACCCAAACAGGTCTAGTATATATAACTCTAAATAGTTTAACAAGTATATTTGAATTGATTCTTTGGTAATTATCCTACATTGTAATATAGTGTTTTATGCTTGTTGATTTTCCGAAAAATATATAAGAAAGCTGAATAATGATTCCTATAAATAAAATTGATAAACTGAACCTTTATATGATAATTCAATGACATTGTTGGAACTTTTTGATGACCATTACACTACCTATACCTCATGCAATTAGTGAATTGTTAGGTAAAACCTACAAATGCATCCCTATAACTTAAATTACCTGTTTGCAAAAGCAATCAGTGCACGTTGGAGAGTTTGTCTCAAGTCATGCAAAAATTCTTCATCATTACTTATGGTATAGTACCAGCTATGAACATAGTCACGGAAAAAATATCGAAGAACCTATAATAATAAAAAGTATAATTTAAATGTTACAACACTAAATTTTTTCAAAACTAGGCATATGAGGATAGTAAGTCCATAACTCCAACAGCCCAGAAGAATCTACTAACCAGATATAAACTAGTAATCCAAAAACCCCACTAGCCTTAATATTAATATTTATTCCTAATTTTCACTAGCCCAGAGCAAAGATTATTATACTAATCCCAGAGTAGTGGACTAGCATTTTTGTCAAGCCCTGTGTTACTTTAGGAAGTACAACTAAACTGGCACTATCAAAAGTCTTAATATGAAAAGCAACATAAAGATTGGAGTAGCCATACTTGAAGAATTAAAGTAACAAACAAAGTAATTTTTAATAATAAATGAATGAATTATTATAACCTCTTGTAATGGTTCATCAATTATGCTTGAACCTGTAAGTCGTTTATCCATCTTATAGGATTTCCTAGAGGATTCCCAAACTTCTTTCAATATTTTCTCTAAGCCTTGCTCTGGAAGGTCTAWATTGGTATTAGCTGCTATCCTTATTCTTTCCACTGATTTGATGTAGCCAAGATACCCAAGAACACATAAAAACCTAGGGGAAAATGCAACCCTATCATTTTGTTATAATCACCATCATGATTAGTCTCCCCCACAGCTACTTTCAGTGTCGTCACGCAATGCTTTCTCCCCTGAGTAGTGGCTGCTTACCCGAGCACAACATTCCTTTCCTATTGTTTGTGTTCRACCAATTAGATAAGTCTCATTGTGTTTCAAGAACCAATCAAAACGTTTCAAATTTGACAACATTCATGAGAGAAATAATTCTAAGACGCATTTGAGTGGAAGTTGGAGAAAATCTTTGGGAAATTAAAATCGAATTCATTCTTGTTAAATGTTTAATGCCCCCCCCCCCCCCAAAAAATGTTATTGGAGAAGGAACTAAGTGTTTTCTTTGTTCATAAAGAAAGAAGAGATTTATATTTTTATAAGTTTAGCTATCGACATTGTTTTATCGGCCGATAGTGAATTCGAGTTCGTGCTTGCTATCGAGCTCGTACCAAAATATTAGAAGCAAAAGAAACCGGAAAACTTTTTTAAAAAGCGTAATTTAGACTCGTGGAAGTTAAACGAGACGACTCAAGATTTAAGAGATTGAAATTTGATACTGTTAGAAAAGTTGTTTCGTTTTGCTTTGTTCACACTGTTAGAAAAGTCGTGAAAAGTGAACACGAATCATTAGCTAAAGCGTTATCTTATGGCCAACTTTCTAACGTCGCGTTAGCAGTTTATATAAAATGTCAAGAACTTCGAACTCCTGTTATTCAAAAAGTCCTCGAGCTTGTCTCGAAAGAAATTACTGGGCTATGCTCTAGAGCGCCAATATTTTATTCCTTTGAGCAATTTCCTATATCCAGTAGGCAGATTTTCAAAGAAATCTTGTTTTTCTTGTAAAATCTTTCGTATGGCGTCTTTCTGATGATCATTAAACTGTTTGATGCGAAATTTCTTAGCTGTACCTCGAATACTTCCTCTAAYGACGCATCTTATTTTCCATATGGTGCGAATGGTTCCTGGATTTCGAGAACTAAGCCGTGATTGGTTAATTCATAGGAAAGGAATGTTGTGCTCGGGTAAGCAGCCGCTACTCAGGGGAGAAAGCGTTGTGTGACGACACTGAAAGCGGCTGTGGGGGAGACTACATCATGATGTGCACTGTAGTAAATTGAAATCCTTGCCCTAACCCCTGGGACAGGACAGGGAATTTACTGACGTGGTGAGAACACTGAWTTATAATGGGAGGTTCTTATATATACTGCATTTCAAAGTTGTCTCCTTACACTTTACATTTATGACCAGTGAAGGACTAATTTACTGGCTCCATATAAATATCCCCTACTCTTACACGAATAATTCAACAGGGACCTCTTTTGTGTCTCCCATTTCATTGCAGGTTAGCAAGGGTTAATTGGGATACTTGGCCTTGGGTTTAAAGTCCTTATCCAAAAAAAAAGGACACATTTATCAGGAGACATATTTTTTGCACATTTATCAGCGTGAATGCGCAGGACAGCACTGCCCAGGGACCATCAGGAAAGTGCTAAATTTAACAGTACATGGATGTTAAATTTCCTGCCCTGTCTCCAGGCCCTGGGAGTGGGGGTATCAATAGACTAGTGCATTATTTTGATCAATCAATCATTTAACTATCAACACAGTATTAATACTGTAGGTTCATAGAAATAGCTACYAGTGGATAGCTTACATGTATGTCATTTTCTACCCTAAGAAGGAAATACACTAGTGTATGTGACGGGGATCAAGATTAAGCAGATGATATGTGATCTGCGATGTTTAATGTATTAATATACACTGTTTGGCAGTGGTGTAGATGAGGACATGCATGCTTACCCAACAGAAAAAACCAGGACATATACTACAAACATAAAACTCCAGAACATCCCAWACGTAGAAAGGGACAGACCAACCACCAAAGCACTCCAGCCAGCTAAGTACACCTAAAAGCGAAAGAAAGTGAAGAAATAATCACAGTATCTAAGAAAAGGCTTGCCATAACTGCATACGTTTATGGATAACTATCATAAATATTAAATACTGATCTTAATTACTTACATGGCTAACTTCTAATGACATTCTGTATTTGTTATTGTAGATGTTTATGAACAAATTCAAAAGAATATTCTCTTGACAAATTACAACGTCAAGCTCCGAGAAGAAAAAGATAAATGCATGATATAGAATGTTATAACCTGATAATTAAAAAACACAATTTGAAGAATATCGTGTTGCATTTTAGTGGCCATGAAAAAATACACGGAAGAGGGATACTGGGAACGACTAAACAGAGGACTGGGGAGAAACTTGTTGCTATGGTTACTTTATGGACTCTTTGGTTCAAAATGGCGGTCACTAGTAGACGAGTCGCTTCTGAGACATTTGGGGGTTTAGTTGCTCCATCCAAGGAACTTCCTGTACCAAATCATTTGCTAGATACAAGTAAGTTACACAAATAATTGGTTTTTGGTGTGATATTGTCATTTTCTTTCGTTACTTTCTCCTAAATATTAACCYTTGTCTGCGTTGTTGTGTGCTTTCATCTTATATTGCAGAAATTTTTTCAAAAGTATCACAAAATGATTTTCTTCAAACAAAACCTTCAGTGGTTCATTATGCTGGTTTTAAAGTTGGGGGAAAACATATCCAAGTCCTGGTGAGTTGTCAGTACTATTTGTGTACTTTTTTCATGTTATCAAACTGTTTGCATGACCATTTTGTGAGAAGCTTATATAATTATAGGCTATCACAAGTTATATCCGAAACGTCATGGTTTTTAAAAAATCTACGCGTTTTATCCGTAATCTTACATTTAATTAATCAGGTCTGAACGAGAGAGCCTCAAAGATACTAAAATGGTGGTATTTGCYCACAGGTAGCCCGATTTAAATTGTAGTGAATGGTGAAAATAAAACTAACTATATAATATAACTAGTTATTTTTAAAAATTCGAGATCAAGAAAATGTCCTACATTATATGAAAGAGTTAAAAAAAAAAATTACTACAATTTTTTCYGCGCCCCTTTGTTTTTTGAGCTTGAATGTAAATTAGTTTAGGCAAAGTTAAGACCAAGTTCAACCAGTCAGTGGTTTCGCCTAGCGACAGTGTTGGGGGAGCCCATTGTGGTTCAGGRGTATTGGTAGGGTTTGCTGTGTGGCAGCTTTGTCATCGTGTTGTGGCTGTACCAAGCGCTTGTGGAAAGATTTCTCTCTCCCACCCACCTCTCAAAAGAAACTATAGGACATGGTAAGTATCTCCACCGTGGTAGGTGTGATGGGTGCCMGGTGGACGGTGGACTGTTTCCCAGTTGCCATGGTCACCTCTGTGAACAGGCTGGTTAGACGCTACTATCCCTTGCACCCTGGCACCCTGGAATATTACTCAACCCAAACTCATCACTACGATGAGTTTTAACCTATATGAATCTAGCCTGCCGCGCAGAYGTTTTYARWKTCGGCTCGGGAGGGGAAGGAATGAGCCGACACTAAAAACRTCTGCGCAGCAGGCTAATATGAATCCCCCATCATAGGGATCATTTTGATCAAGTTTTTTGTGAAGTTTGAGATTTAAAAGACAATAAAATCATAGTTGAAAGTGCGTTGTTTTTCCAAAGATGGTGACTGTAATTTCCTCCCTTGTCAGAGTATATACAAAAAGAGCAACATTAGATACCATAGGGGAATTATAAAGGAAAACAAAGGCGTGCAGAAAAAATGTTTTTGTAATTATTTTTATATTGATTTTTTTACTCTTTCATATTATGGAGGACATTATCTTAACCTAAAATTTAAAAAAATAATTTGTTATTCAATTTTTCAGATTTTATTTACACCATTCACTTTAATCTAAATTGGGCTCCCTGTGGTTTGCCTTGTTAGTGACTATGTGGCATTTTTTAACTCAACTGAACTCAAATTTATTTTGCAGAATATAATAAATGCCTCCTCAGAAACTCAGAGAATGCACATTATTCCTCCTTCTACTCAGTACTTTTATATAAAGTACACAAAAAATGTAAGTACCTTTTAAAACTGTACAAATATTACATTTTTTCTATGGTTGCAATAGACTCTTTGCTATAGCTAATTTAAAATAAAATTCATTTGAAGTCCTTCATTAACTGAGACTTGAAGTAATAATCTTAGCTCAGTTCCATCAATCTACCTTTGCTATACCTAAATGCTGGCAGCCTGTGAGTCATTTCTATTAGCCTACATGTAACTAATAACAATTATTTGTTCTCTCATAACTAGGAGAGACTTGTTCCTGGTTTGTCTATTGAAGTAACAATAGAATTTAAACCTGATGAATGGAGATATTATTATGATTGTATAAGAATACATTCTAAGGTAAAGCAAAAAATTGATCGCATTAATTAATTTGTACATGACTCCGTTTCATTATAACTTATAATTACTGGATCCTTTTTTCAGGCAGAAGAAAATCTAGTGGTCCCTATCCATGCTTATCCAGTGATGAGTTCATTTCAATTTCCAAAAGAGGTTCATTTTGGATCTGTCCCTCTGGGTGAAAGGTTAGATAATGATCAACCCTATTATCGTTTGACATACATGTATATACTGCATTGTGGTTTAATCTATGCTGTAGTATGACCATTGCTAAACATGTACATGTAATACGTATGACAAACTTTTTTTTGCAGCAAAACGAAGGCTATTCCACTCAAGTGTGAAGTACCCATTGATTTTGAGTTTCAGTTTAATTGTTTACAATATAACACAGCATTTACTGTAACTCCCATGTCAGGTAATTGTCTTACTTTGGATGCATAGAGGCATAAATTAGCTATTATGCATATACAATAACTAAAGGTTCATTGATCTTTGCTTGATAGGGGTAGTTCCTGGTGWTGGTGAGGTTCAAGTACATGTCACCTATACACCTACTGACTTCTCTACATCAGTGCTGCGGCTACAGGTAATCATTTGTCTGACCACATACTTGAATGAACATACATTAGAGTGTTTAATAGTAAAATATGGTTGTATTTTTGTTCAATTATTCGTTTCCTTTCAAGATATTAGCCCAATATTAAGTAAAAGATAATTATCATAATTATTATTAATYATTACAAAGAAATAATTAGAAATTTAGGGGRAAAAAATCCCCAAAGTAATGGGCAAACCATGTAATAAACAGCTCAATGGTAAGACTACAGACTGCATCCAAGGATSAAAACGAATAATTTCCAACATAAACACTTACAATTAGTACATGATTGCTTGACATGTATGTTCATTTTAGCTGCCATTATTTGTTTTTTGCAGTTGCTTATTTCCCAGTTCAACTCAGAACCACAAGTATGTACCTTCACTGGAACCTCCCAGCCTGGTCAAGTAAAGAAGTAAGCAGTAAATAAAACCATGGCATAAGATTCTGAATAAACATATTTCAAAAACTCTAACAGGTTTTTGTTCCATGTCAAAGTGTATGTTTCTGTTCAAACCCTTGACTTGACATGAAAGGTTTAAAAGGTCAACAACCAAACATTAGGCATGATTAGTTGTACTGCAAGTGTACAAGAGGTTATCACTCGGCTAAGCATCTGATACGGCTGTGTATTTTTACGAGCCACAGAGTATTTTGGCGAGCCTTTACAAGTGACAAGTAAAAATGCAAAGTCATATCAGATACTTAGCCTACTTATAAGTTGTTTATCATTTAATTCTGCAAATAAATGCTCAAATGCTCTCTAAACCTTATCGAACCCAGCGCGAGCAGATGAGTGCGGCCTCATATCAAGCATGTTCTTTTTCCATATCATGCATGTTCTTTGCAGAATTAAATGATAAAGACTGTTATTATCAGGTCTTGTGAAATGTTATTATCAGGTTGCTCAATGGATTGAATATATATAGAGAGAGGTTATCAGTTGGYTAAGCATCTGATATATGGCAGTGTATTTTTACGAGTCATACAAGTAACAAGTAAAAATGCACAACTGTATCAGATGCTTAGAAGAGAGTATGTGGACCG